GCTTTCAAAGCATTGGAGATGTGAACTTCCCCCCTATGCAGCGACAAAAGAATGTCCGCAATGTTGAACTGCTTTAAAGACCCGAGAGCCAGTGCTAACTCCTCAGAAACCAGGATGAACTTGTGGATATTGGCTAAATACCTCGTCAAGGTATTCTCCGAAACTGAACTAAGCAAATTGCGAAGGAGGCGGTCCGCGTTCGAAGATGATTCCAGCTCACCCAGAACATCCGAAATCGGGAGCAGCATAGGTCTGATCAACTCCCATTGACGCAGGCATAGCTCCCAGGTGCGATTATGAGTGTCAGCTGATGTAATCATGCCCGACGTCCCCCTAGCCCTGTAAGGCGCCACAAGACCTCTGCCCAGCCTGAGGGCGGAGACCGGCGGAGACGGCGCCACAGGAGAACCAGAAACCACTGAGCTCGAAATCCTCGAACTGAAACCCGATTCAGGATACTGCACATAATCTACAGCCCGCCTGGGTCGAGGCGGCTGTAGGGGATCTTGCACAAAGCTGACAGGGCGTGACCGCGGCCGTGGTGAAGGTGCCTGAAGAGGAGTTGCCTCAAGCCCAAGAATTTGCGGCCTTCTAGACGGAGATGCTAACCGTCGTGGTCGATTGAACCCTGTGCCGCACACTGGTCTCGGAATAAACTGCAGAGGCATCAAGCAAGACACACCAGGCTGCAGCGGCGATTCCGAAGCCTGCGGAAAAACTTCCGAAACCGACTCCTGAGAGGCCAGCGGGAGCCCCCCTTGTTGCAAAGCCCTTGAGCTGGGGCAAATGCCGGTTGAAGGCCGCTCTGAAGCCATCTCACAAAACTGAGGCTCAATCTTCGGAAAGGGATTGCCAAAACCCAGGGGGGCGAGGGAAAGCTCGCTGAATAGCAACCACCAGGTATTGAAAACAAGAACCCAAATGGATAACCCGAGTAGTAAGGCACCCAATCGCGCAATCGCTTGGCTGAAAACGTCTCTGCAAGCGAAGGTGAGCTTCCCGGTCCTGATCTTCAAGTCTGGCCACTCTGTCCTCCAACGCGCCCAGTCTGACGCGCAAGACGCGATTCTCCTCCCTCAGGATTGCAACCCGATGCTGAGAGCTAGTGAGAATTTCGGACAGATCAGACAGCTGAGCCCGGATATCTGCAGAGGACTGAAGATCTGTGCTTTCCGTCACAGGAGCCTCGCTCATGAACCTACCGCAGGCGAGAGAAATGACTGCCCTATGTGTTGTTCGAGACCTGAGACCCGGAAGTCTGTTAGGATCTATGCTCCGCTGTGGTGTCTTTTTACAGGTAACCTGTGCTTGCACATGAGGCCGAATCGCATGATCTCCCAAAATATGCTCTGGCTTGAGCATTAGAGGATGCGCAAACGCTGATCATGTCCGATCCCACTGGGATCATCGCATCAGATCGCTATAGCAAGACTTCAAACTGCCTGCTCAACTTGCCAGGAATGCCTCCCGGAACTGACCGCAATCACGCTTTTGTGACGAGCTCTCCAGCACGCTTGAGTCAACCCGAGCATGGGCTGTGAGAAGGTAAATGGCCGTGGCCCGCTGCCAGAGCACCAAGCGCAAGCGCACTGGAACAGAAGTGCCCCCCGGGAAAAACCAGTCCTAAAGGACCCCGACAGAACTAGTCCTGAATAAGTAAGTCTGCCCGAAAGCAATGAATCCCTGCGAACCCGGGAAGCAAACAACCTTAAGGGAAGCCAGCCAACCTTCCAGGACAGCTGGACCCGCTCAGAAAGGTCGGGCACTTGATCATAGCCAAAAAGGCCGAGGAAGAAAAACCCGACCGTCAGCCGCAGACTCCGACCCTTTCACCGGTCCTGAATGGCCTCCTGGAGATGCTGGATCTGGAGCTCCGCCAAGGAGAGGCGATGGCCAAGACTAGCCGAAACCTCAAACAGCATCTCAATGCGTTGCTGCTGACGGTCCAGGCTCGCAACGGCAGTGGCTTCATCCCGAATCTGGTTTCCAGCAGCTACTGCTTCGGCAGTCCAAGAAGGGTCCTCCAAGCGGACTGTCTCGAGGTCGGCGCCAAACACCGGCTGAAGCTGCTGCAATCTGAAAGCCACCGAAGTCCCAAAACGCTTGCGTCGCCAGCTGCGGAAGCTCCCGAGCGAACCGCCCCAGCGGCTGCAGAGGTGCCGTGGGCTCCTTTCCGATGTGCCCAACCAGAGCCGTCGTGGCAGAACATGCTCGAAAAGACGCCAATCCTCGACCACGAATGTGCTGCAAGCACAACGCGTCCACTGTCTGGCACACAGCGATCAGCTGCTTCCGCTCTGTCACGTCCAAGAAGCACCAAACACAGCAGCAACTGGCGTAGTGAACCATGATGGCGGAGGCGAAATAGCACAAGCGGGCCCGAGCCACAGCGGGAAACGAAACCCTTGGCTCCTCCGTGGCACGATCAGCAGTACGCGCCTCGTCCTCAGAGCTGCTGAACACATGTGACCGATTCCACCACCACGACGCAGCAAACTCTTGAGCTGCCGTGAAAGGCATTGCACGAAAACGAGCCGCAGTGGACCCGCTAGGCCAAGCCCTTCTCTTAGCACCCAGGGGCCTGCTAGGATGTCTAAGAGCTTAGCGAGGCCACAAAACGAACAGAACAGCCGTTCGAGCACTTCACGGCCGCCGCTATCAGCTGACTGTACCAAAAGTCTCAAAGAATGAAGTTCGCATGCCCCAAAGAAAAACCATGTCCAAGGAAGAACGAAAAGCCAAGCTAAACCAAAGATGTTGTAGTTTTTGCAAAACAGCTCGAG